TTCTTCTATGGCAAGGTAAATATTAACTTTTTTTTGGTTAATGCAATTGCAGGCAGAAGCAGGAATCAATGCACAAATGTAGACAAGGCAGCAGTACCTCAGAGAAGCAACCGGGGCAATGGTCTTTAACATAGTGAAGGGATTTGTAAAGTGAACATACTGCAACACTACTTGCTTTGTTGAAGTATAACCTTCACTGAGTACCATCATGGGGAAAAATACAAACTGACAGACTGCAGAGGAAAACAAGGCTAAAAATATACTAAATATCAAAATCATTTGTTTTTGTATATAGATAACAATAAACAGTTTCACTGGCAGCTGCAGTATTACTTTAAAGGGAAATATTCAAGACTAGGCTAGTTACTCATCTATCAATGATAATTTGAGACTTAAAAATCCTTACAGACTATAGGAAGGAAGGGACAGACTAAAGAGATCCAAAAGGATTTGCAAACAGCTGAGAGTCCTGTTCTGGAGGAAAAGTTAATAATAACTGAGAATTTTTACAGCAATAAAGAAGAAAGAAGCAGTAAACTCCTGAAATCATTCTTATTGGCATTTAACTTGCATAGGCACTCACCTCTCTATTGATTCATCTGCCCCTTTTATATTTATGTCTCTGATCTTTAAAGCATCCTGCAACTGTTGTTCACTAGTGGAGAGCTCAGTGCTGATAACAACCCGGTGCACTTCCCTCAAATGGCCAAAATATACTTTTACGTGTCCAAATACTTTAGAACAGAATTCACAGCACACCAGTTTCTTGAGTCGACCTTCACTGTGATGAAGCTTCATGTGTGTGCTTAGACTTCCTGAATGAATATATGCTTTACGGCAAATTCGACAACTGTATGGTCGCCTGTTTGTGTGTGTGTTCATATGGTCCTGAAGATGGTGTTTAAACTGGAAGTTGTGGTTGCAGACATGGCACTTATGCCACATCTTAGGTACAGTAGAAAATATATTCCTACACAAATCACTTGGTTTAGCAGAAACATCTTCACTCTGTTTATGACTTAAATATTTATTGGGAAGTGAATTATTCAAATAAGTGTCTTGTTTTACCTGGTCAGGAGATTTGGACCCAATTATGGCTGCAGATGTTAGTGGAGCTAAAGCCTGCATAACAACAACAGGTTTTGGCCTAATACTACGGTATTTTTTTACTTCATCTCCCTTTCTGTGTTTTGGTTCCTGAGGATCAACTTTTATTTTCTCTTTACCTTCTCTAAACTTATTAACAATGCGCTTCTTTCTTTTGGTCTGAAAGGCCAATATATCATCTGGGATTCTTTGTTTTCTGCCTCTTCTCTTCAAGGCTGCAGCATTCAATTTCTTTGGATTATCAACATCTACTTTACTTGCTGGACAGAGGGCATTTTCACACGTGGGTTGTTTGGAGACTTGTGCAAAAGATATAGGTAACAGTTTACCAGAAACTTTGCTAGAAACAGTTAAGGTTTTCACCAAAGATGGCATTTTTTCACAATCAGACGGTTGCACAGGAGCAGCAGCATTTGCAATGTTAGAATTTGGTTTAGATTTATAAAACATTGTTTTTTTCATTCTTGAATAAGGCAAAATAGGCAGTTTTCCTTTTGGTGTAGAGGGAGTCAATTGCACAGGGTTGCCCAAAACAGCTGGTGACAGGACAGTGACAGAGTTTGCAGAATTCACTGTTTTTTCTTTAACTTTCTCACATACAACAATTGAGCTTCCTGTGGTTTCATTTGCTGTTTCCATAGAATGTAAGTTTAGTTTCAGTGGATCACTTACACCCACTGGCTTGGATAAAGGTTCCTTAGCTGCAGATGGTTCTGACACATTAGCTTTAGCAGTGTCCGTTTTGCTCAATAAAGGAGGTTCAGATTCGACATTGTTGCTTTCGCTTAGCAAAGTAGCAACTGTAACTTCAGTTGACCCCTGATCCAGTAATATCATTTGTTCAGATGCACGAGTCATAGATTGAGTTTCAGAATGGTCTTCAGTAGAGGCAGTCACTGGTGGCATCTGTGATGAAGTCCGTGTCTTGACAAGAATCTTGTTATGTGTACCTGAAGCAGTGGTTTGAGTTGTTTTTTTGTCTATCAGCAATTTGCTTCTTAGAGATTGATACCTAGGAATAGGAAGTTTGAGGTTTTCAGAAGGGGACATGTTTGACTGATGGATTTGCTGGGTTAGTGCAGGAGTAACCTGTGGCAAGGCCACAAGAGAAAAAGTTCCTTCATGACCAGTAACTTGCATCAGAGCATAATTTTGTGTTGGCACTATAAGTGGTTTAGAGCTTGCAGCTCTAACAGTACTTTGCTCAGGCAGAGAAGGCTGAAGACAAGAAACCATTTCTGATGTTGTAACTTTTAGTACCATTTTTGGTGCGATGGTCCTAAAGTGGCTTTTATTCTGAAAACCTTTTCCACTTTGTATCGTCCCGGAAGAGGATTTATCTGCAGCAATGAAATAAAATATACAAATATGTATGACAATGCCGTCATAAAATTAGTTTATCAAAAAATAACTTAAGAGTTTATGTACAAACTTATTACATATATGAAAGATATTTAAACAACCACTAACTGAAGCATGGAGTTGGAGTTACAGGCTTTAAAGGATAAACTGAAAAACTAATAAACTTGAGAAATAATACATTTGGTTAATATTTAGCTCATACAAACAAAAATATTAGTTCTTCTGCATCTAATCTAGCCCTTAAAGCAAATTCTTTCTATCCAAGTCATACAGCCTCATATGTTTACATCATTTTTCTGCATTAGAAAAGGATTGTTCCATTATGCCACCAGTAGTAAAACTGCACATAAGAACATAAGAATTGCTATTTCCTGGGTCAGACCATATGTCCATCTTGCTCAATATCCTGTGTCACGGTGACAGAGAATGGATGCTGAAAGGGATAGTGAACAGAGTATGATCAGGGTTTTCCCCACTGTTCTTCTCTCACTTGCAGCCTTCAGAATTTAAGATCTAGGTCCCTAGGAAGTTCTAATTCAGAGGCTGTATTAACTCCCTAAAAGATATTAGTAATAATGCAAGTGGTAGTAGAAGACGAGGTTTGGGTATTCTTACTATTTTGTCATGAATCTCTCTCAGAGCAATGCATTTAGAATAAGAGTACATTTTTCGGGTATAAACACACCCATATTAAGCATACTTTTCTGAACAAGTCATGCAATCTTGCAGTTCTTCTGTAGCGTGGGGTTTTTTGGACATGGAAGAACCTCAACTGATGAAAGGTTTTTAAAAAAATCACCACTATATAATATGCTAACATGCAAGAGAATGACAAGGGACTTGGAATAAAATGTACTATCACAAAAAACACAACTGCATTCATTTCTACTTTCTCAGATGATACGCAGCTTGGCTGCACAGTGTAAAGATTCCCTTGAAAACTACTGCTGTAGTTCTATTCCCTTGCAGGACTCAGGGCTTTTTTAAAAGCTTTTGTCAGAATTTCATGAAGTTTCTACTTGCTCTTATAATTAAAGCATTTTTAAAGCTCTGACAGAGAACCAAAGAAAAACATGCTGATAAAAATGAATTAAATTACAAAAAAATCCAAAATGTTAAAACATATGTTAAAATATATGGGTCCGCAGAGAGCCTACCTTTCGCACAGTTTATGAAAGGATATTTAACATGCATTTTACTGCATCACAATCACTTCATGTAACAGCCAACTGCTCATCAATAAACACTGTCTCTTATACCTCAAGTTGGCAATTGCTGAAACTACAGCAGGATCTCCCCCTCATTTTCTAGGAATGAGGGAGAGTAAAAAAAACAAACCCAAAAACCCTTCAGCAATGATCCCAATATTCAAGAAATGCTGAGAGCAGAAGAAAATATGTTGGGGGAAATTCAAGATTACTAGAGGTATTAAGTCAAACAGAAAACATAAACAATTAAAAAAAATGTGGAAGGTTACAGAGTACACGCAAAAAAAGGAACTGAAGCTGTTTACTATGGCAGTTTCTGTTCTTTATTATATACACTAAGAACTCTGTATTAAAAATGTACATACAAAATGTTGAAGATAAATATAGGCCAATTTTAAGTTTCTTCCAGTACTGCTAGCTCCAACAACTTGATATTTATGTTGGATGTTCTTCACGTATGTTGAACACCTTACAGTTTGCATTGCAAGTTACATACATACATGAGTATGTGGATTAATGTAATTAATCAGCCAAGGCACATAATTCTGAGCTGTAGACTGGATACTGAACTTGAAAGCTAATAACATAGGTCAAAGTGACTGTATTACTTAAACATAGTAAATTTCCAGGGAATTATATTTTCCCTTAAGGACTGGAGACTGCTTTTTATAATAGATTATCCTTACTAGATAGTACCCTTTCAAGGTTTCTGGGTAAAAATGGGAAGAGGTGCTATGAAGCTGTGAAGTCACAATGTCATCCCTCCCAAGAATTGGGGGGGTCATCTTATACAAAAGTTTGACCAGTTTGTTTGGTACTCCAGAAAATTTGGCAGCTCCTTCTAACCAGGGGTCCTAGAAATCTGTTTGCCATGAAAAAATGTGGAATTTGTGTTTTTTACAGCGAATTGTTAGAATCGCCAGAAAAAAAAAAAAAAAGAAAAATATGTGGGAGCCAGTGGTTCTCATGGTTGCTGCAGCAGCCTGCCAGAGGCATAGAAACCCCCAGCAAACAGGGAAGCAGCCAAGATGGTGGCTCTACCTCCTCTGCTGATTGGCTGGGAAGGCTGCCCATCATGAGGCCCCACCCCTCGCTGCCAATCAGCAGCAAGGGGTGGGGTTGCATAAACAGCAGCACTCTCAGGCAATCAGTGGCAAGGGGTGGGGCCACTGCTAGGACCCCTCCCTCAGCCAATCAGCATTGTGGAGGCTCAGCATAGAAAAACATGGATTCTTAAATTTTTATCAGATCGTTTTGGCTTTTTAATCAAAGAAAACTAGGATCCCTGCTTATCAAAGTCCAAATGCAGTGGCTTCCACTCTCCTTTCCCTCACTTTCCTTCCCAGCTCCTTAGGTCTCATTGTTTTTATTTTCTCAAAATCCCATTCAACAATTGGCATAAAATAGAGGTGCTCAACCTCTAGCCCAAAGACCAAATGCAGCCCGTAGAGCTATTGCACCTGGCCCACGGGTCTCCACATGGGAAGTGGCAGCCATTTATATGACCATTCTCCCCTCTGCCAAATTGCCAAACTCCAAGCCACATGCCACTTGTCAGAGCTGGGCTGCAGCCCCTCCCCATGTTGGAAAAGGCAGCACTTCTTCCCACCCACATCTGGATAGGAGCCAGGCATGTCCCTACTCTCTCCCCTCTGTGGGTCCAGGCCACACTCCCTTCTTCCATGGGGCTGGGTCATATTCCCTTTGCCAGAAGGGCAGTGTTAGGGTCAGGCTTTCCCTGCCACCCTCATGGGGTGGAATGATGACAGCCAAGGCCACCCCAGGTGCCAGATCAGGACCACCTGTGGCCTGCCTCCCCCACTCCCTGCTCCCCTCCCTGTCCACCCCCGTTACCCTACTCTGCTCCTCTGGGGCAGTCTGCAGCAGTGGTAGCCCCAGCTCAGTCTAACCAGGGAGAAGCAGCAGGAGCACCTGGCCAGGCCAGGCCAGGCCAGGCCAGGCCAGGTCAAGGCTAGAGGGAACAGATCCAGAGCAAAAGATAAGAGGGGAAGGGGAAGCTGTGTCAGATGGGTCAGCAGCAGGGGGAGCAAGGGTGGACACAGGTACAGGCACAGGGGGCACATGGTGGGGTTGGAAGTTCCCCCCTGGCTGCATGTCCCCTCCCCTGCCAAATGAGCTATTTTAGGCAGCAGCTCAGCTTCAGCCCTGAGCCTGGGGACAAAACTAGAGCTGAGTCACCACCTGCCCTAGGAAGGTCTCAGATCCAAGCTGAGGGTTATTTTTCTCCATGCTAACCATGTGTGGCCAGGCACCTCAACTTGAATTCAAGTATATACGGTAAATGAGCATCAGAAGCTTGGAAGTCTCTCTTGTGTAGTTACTTTCACATTGACTCAGCAGACACTTAAGTAGCAAAACCTGCTTTTACCCTGTTTCCTCACTTATAATTCTCAGCAGCTGGTTTCTGGGGAAAATATACATGTTTGCATTCAAGAAAATATGTTGTATACCTACATACACAACTTAACATAAATATGGATCATGTAGAATCGTTCTTCTTGCCTTCACTAAAACGGCAGTGTAGGCACACGAAATACAGCTATTCTAAATGAAACCCAAGTTCAATTGCCAGTTCTGTAATTGGCCCGCTAGGTGGCCTTGGGTAAGCCACTCCCTTTTCTGTGCCTCAGTCTTCCCATCAGTAAAACAGTAATAATAATGTTGATCTACTTTGAAATTGCTTTGAGAACAAATTGATGAAAAGCACTGTGTAAGAGCAGGACATTATTAAATAATGCAGACTCTTAGTCTGAAAACAGTATGTCACAAGGTTGTCTTTTCTGATAATACTATCTATGAATAGTATAAAAAAATTAGATTGATTGTCTGCATGAAGTCAATGAGTTAAAAACATTTTTGAACTACTACTGCTAGAAGACATTAGTCCCAGGATAAGCAAAGCACATTTTCTTGGTAACTCTTGTCAGTTTCAATTAGTTCAATTGAAAAGCAGTGAGAAATAAGAAAAATGTTTTGCTTTTTATTACAAAGATTGAAGTCCATCTCATAGTAACTACTTACCCTAAGTGCACAACTGGACCAATGACAGAAAAAATGAATCAAGAGAATGACAGGCTTTGCTTTGTAAGGAAATGAAGAATGTAAGGAAATGAAGAATTTAGATTTTGGGTAGGGATGGATGGAACAGTTATACTGAGTTAAGAGTGAGGAGCACTCACTGCACACCATGTGATTTACAGCAGTTTAATGTGGCTGCTCTATTTCACAGTGGATGCATCTACAAAAGACGTTTTACTTCACAGTAGACTAATTTACTGTGCAGTAAAGTGTCACTGTCTACACATGCAGGCAGTTATTGTGCAGTAAATTAGTCTACTGAGCGGTTAGTTTACTACCTGCAAAAGCAGGTAGTAAGCTAATTATGCAGTAGGTACTGCACAGTTGTGCATGTGCAGAGGCCAACCAAGACCAAATTGGCTCTCTGTCAGCCACACCAACAGAAGGCCAGACTCAGGCTTGCCCCAGAGCCATGGGGCAGAGAGTTTCTCCAGCCCCATGGCTGGGACACCTCTTTGCCTGCCTCAGCCTGGGCTTTAAACCCCTGGCCTGACCCCAGGGTCTGTGCCACCTGCTGCCTGCCCCTAGTCATCGCATCACATTGTGGAGCAGCAGCTCCATGCTGGCTGCAGCAGGTCCATGGAACCTGGTGGTGACCCCCAGGGCCTGTGCCACCATCTGGCTGCCTCCCACCCACCATGCCCCTGTGCTACAGGCATGTGCCAAGGCCT